CTTCGAGAGCCATTGATGATTTGATTCTCTCGATTATCGGAGTAAACCGTAGACAATTAGGAATGTGAAAAGTGAAACCTAATAATAAGATCTCTCCGACGCAAATTATATATGCATATCAATATCTATTTTATTTGTTTACATATGTATATCAATTAAAAACCAAAATTTTCAACTGAACCTTTATTTTGTAAATAAATCATACATCATAATATGCCACAATTCATATTATATTAATTTAGTGAGAGTATGAATATTTTGTATACGACATAAATCTTTAATAAATCCTTTACAATCTTGGTGAAAATAACTAAAAAAAAATTCTTCATAAAATTCCATAAATTGTGGTAAAAAAATCTTTATAAACAATACTGTTAAGTGTTAACTCAAACATTATATCCATAGATACTAGAAAATGACCCGGGCGTAGCTTCTAAAAACGTCCACCTAGAATTTAAATCAACCAATAGTGTTATGTCATGTAAGTATTTAAAATTAAGTTAATTTACTTTTGGCGCAATTACAAAAATGTCATTTTTTGTGTGCACATTTGCAAGAATATCACTTAGGAATGTCCATTTACAAAAATGCCACTAATTATAGATTTATAAGGCCTATATCTTAAAATTCTAAACCCTAAAAAACGTTTTGACATATAAAACCCTCTAAACACTCAAAATTAAACCCTAAAAGTGTGGCATTTTTGTAAAGTAACACTTGAAAAGTGGCATTTTTTGAAATTTCTCTTTACTTTTTGGTGTTAACGAAAAATTAAGACATAATTTATATATTTCATAAACTCATAACTTTAAATAATTTCCATTTTTTTGTGAACTTTTTAGTTTTGATTTTCCTATTTAATTTTTATATACTATAGATTAGGAAATTTTCTTAATTTGAAGGTAATAATAGTTTTAATTATAAAACTTAAAAAATTATTTTTTTTTAGAAATTCATTTTTTACTTTTAACATTTAGAATTAAGTTAATTTTACTTTTATTGTAAATAAAAAAAATTCCATTTTCCTTAAATTCATTTAGAAAAGAAAACGTAATCCTTTCCATTTAATTTAAAAATATTATATATATTTTGGGAAATTTAAAATGAAATAGAATAGTTAATAAGTTTTCTATTTGTCAGTTATACATTTTTTGTTGTAAAACAAATAAAACAAAAAAAGTAAACATTGCAAAACATATATATATGAAATAAAGAAGCATATACAATTTGGTAAAATTTATTACAATTGTCGAACGCTTATAAATGTGAAAAGAATGATAAAAAGAAATGTATATATGAAAATCTGTCGAAAGCTTTGATCTTAGTGGAACTTAGCAGCTTTTGAACTTGCAGATATTTTGATCTTAGTTGAACATAGATGAAATTCTTGGGTTTTGGAGCTTTGAAATCTTGGTGAAGATATCGATTATAATACTTATTTGTTAGAGACTATGCTGGATTTTTACGTTGATAAGTTTTGGTTCTTCTTCGTCTAGGTATTGGACCTATACTTTGTTATTGGATCGCACATTGGTCTTACTTTAATCCAAGCGAGGTGGATTAAATCTGAATTTATGTATTGTTTGAGCTTTGATGCTTTGAAGTACGTCTTGGCACTTGAAAAACATACTTACAAAGATAAGTTCATTCTCAAGAGATATGGGGATGCTATGATATATAGATAGTGTTAGCTACAACACGATTATGCTGTTAAAATTCAGATTTATTGGTGCTACAAGCTTGATGGTGGAGGACATCGGCTAAAGAACGATGAATATGTTCTTGCAAAATATCTACAATTAAATTGTTWGGAGTGAATGAMATAAGATGACTATTYTGTTATTGATTATTTTGATTGATCTCAATTCTGGATCATATAACCRTCTTTAAGAGCYTATGATATTTATATGAGTACTATCTAAAAACTGAAGTGAAAAAGAAATATAATAACAAAATATTTTTGGTTTTCATAAGAGAAAACTAAGATAGCAAAAGAGCGAAAATATGAAAGAGACGGAGGCATAAGAGTTACATGTGTGAGAGGTTTTTGAAAATATTATGTTTTTTTTCTTGATGTGATTTTATTGACATTACATCAACAATCTAACTAAATTTTGAGAAGA